CATAAGCAGAAACTTTTTGTTTATACATATGTATATCCCGAACATATACATAACTGGATTGGATTTATAAAAAAAAGAGCCCATTCTTGATATTTTTTTAATTAAAGTTTTTTTTTAAATTTACATAGTAATTTTCATTTTAAGAGAAAATAAGACAAATGTTTAATTTTCTTTTAATTTTATTTATTTTTCTTTACTCACATCCTATTCAACATTTAATAAATGGAATGGATGGTAAGTTTTTTTGAATCTCCATTTAAGTTTACGAGTTTAATTAAAGTCCAATTTTTGTCCAATAAATTAATTTTTGAGTTTATTTGCCAAATTTAACTTAATTTGCGGGATTAAATCAAAACTTTTATTTGTCGTAATTTTTATCGATATTGAGATTTATGATATTAAAAGATTCAAAAAATGAGTGAGGAAAGAGGGAGCAGGCCAACGTACCCGAGCCCTACGTACCGCAGAGCTACATATAACTAAGTTCAAAATCAGGGACGCCTTGGTATGGTTCGATGCATCTGGACGAGCTTAATCGAACCCTATCAAGGATTTATAAAACTCGATTGGATTTATAAAAATTTTAGCATTATTTTTTCTTATATTTAAATAATAAAAAAATTTAAAGGAGAAAAACAAATTTATGAAAGCCCAAATTTGCAAAACTGTCCTCCCCCATCACCATTGTATGAGCCAAACTCGAAATTTCCAAAAATGAAATTTTCGTTAACTGAGTTATCTCTCTTAACTAGAATTTTGTTGGAAGCTAGTCCAAATCTTTTAAAATTAAATTACAAACTTGAATTGTCGGATATATTAATACAAAAATGCAAAACTAATGTGTTAAATAAATTAGAAAATCAACAATTAGTTAATTCTCAAATAATTGATAAGAAACTTAATGAGGTATTAAAAAACATAACCAAATAAATTATTATTATTTTTCTTTTTAAAATATTTATGCTGAAAAATGAGTAATTTTGTAGTAAAATGTCGACACACCTTTTTAGGTTTTTAACGCTTTAAATGATCAAATAACTTTTGTTATTTGAATATTAAAAATTTTTCGTCTAATTTAGAAGGGGTTGAGGGCAAAGACCGGAAGCTTCAAAATTTAAATGAAGTAATAGAAAACGTTTACTAGCTCTCACTTCTCACGCTATCTATCGGTTTTGTGATTGAAATATTAGGAATCGAGGTTTATAGAAAATCTTTTTAATCAAATAAATTTTTAACACTGAAGGCGAAATTCGATGAAAACCTAGTGAGAGAGAACTTTCCATTCCTTTTCCTGCATCTCTTGTGTTAGGAAGGGTTTGTCCTATACTCCTGATTAGGGTTGTCGGTTCTGGACCGAACCGAACCGAACCGAAGAACCGATGATTTTTCGGTTCGGATATCGGTTCGGTTCCGGATATCCGAAAATTTTCGGTTCGGATATCGGTTCGGTTCCGGATATCCGAAAATCTTCGGTTCGGATATCGGTTCGGTTCCGGATATCCGAAAATCTTCGGTTCGGATATCGGTTCGGATCCGGATATCCGATAATTTCCTGTTGAAAAAGGAAGAAATCTGTCTTATGGTCTTCTAAAATTCTCAAAATTTTCGCCTGCGGCGCTGAAAAAGGAAGAAATCTGTCCTTTGGTCTTCCAAAATTCTCAAAACTTTCGCCTGCGGCGCTGAAAAGGAAGAAATCTGTCCTTTGGACTTCCAAAATTCTCAAAATTTCCGCCTGCGGCGAAGTATGTGGTATATCTGAGCATTTGCATAGATTAAGGTGGACTTTGAGAAAATAGGGAGGAATTAAAGGAGAGATTATCAGAGGGGTTAAAGGGAATATTGAGCGATATGAGTGTGATATCGATAGATAGAGGTTTAAGTGGGACCCTTTGATCAATTCAGAACCCCTTTTATCACCCGATATCAAATCTCTTATATCCAACTAATTCTTTTTACCCACCACTAATCCTTAATAACACCTTAACCTCGAAAAAATTTTCGGTTCGGTCCCGGATATCCGAAAATTTTCGGTTCGGTTTCGGATATCCGAAATTTTCGGTTCGGTTCTTCGGTTCGGTTCCGGATATCCGAAATTTTCGGTTCGGTTCTTCGGTTCGGTTCCGGATATCCGAAGATTTTCCAAGAACCGACAACCCTACTCCTGATGCAATTCATTCCCTAAATTCTCAAATAAACTAAACTTCAATAACACTACTATAATTAAGATTATCTCATTCTACAAGGATTATATGAAAGAAATTGAATTGTTTAAAAATACAGAAGACCATTTGGAAGAGGAGGAAGATAATGTACAAGGATTAAGTGCCGAGGAAATGAGATTATTTATTCAAGAAAGATTGAATAAAATGCTCATTACATTAAATTTTGAGGGCTATCAAGTAATTTTGAGAAAATATTTGAGAATTGTTAAAAGCAGAAATGCACAAATTTTGAGTGATTCACAAATTGATATAAACAGTTTATTAAAAAATAAAAATCAAAATCTTGAAGCATTTGTCAATATTGTTAATAATGCCATTGTGCCTTTATTGGAGTAAATTTTAAAATTTTGGGGTTATATGTATATTGAAGTTTTGATTCCCGAGTTTTCTCAAACTTTTCTCAATAAACATAGTAAACAAAAATGACTGTTTATTTTTATTTTATTCGTATTCGAGCTGACTTTACATACAACGAATGTGAATACCGTATATACTCTATTAATTACTCTGGGTAATTATTGTTTCGACCTTTCGCTGTAGGGTGTAACTAATAGAGGCGGGGTATTATTTGAGGGAGGGTAATTAATAGAGTATATACGGTAATAAAACTGGGGAGGTAAATGTCTAGTTGACTCCCCACCTGTCCGCAAAGAAAATACGCAATTTTCACTCCTTTTCTTGCATTTTTTCTGTAAGGAGAAGCGCCCATTTTTTCTTTATGTATTGTATGCCCTTTGACTCATGAAAAGGGTCAAAAAAGAAAATATAATAGAGAATAATATAAAAATTGAAAACAAACTTGGGCTAATTTTATTTATTTTTCTAAAAGATCACGAGGGCTAACAACATTTTAATGATCATAATATAGGAATGATAACCGTCTGCTATTTGACAAATCACCTTCTATTAAATGCTAGATCGACCGGCTTTAAAACCGGAATTTTTAAGATTTTTTGCCAAAAATTAACCTTTATATGAAATTTTAAAAACTTTATAAAAATGAACGAATTAATAAAAATTCCGCAGAATAAAACCACTATATTACCAAAACTCAAAACTAAAAACTGTGTTTTTAAAATTCGAATTAATTATCTAATTATTATTTTATTTGGAAAAATTCCGTCATAAGTCCCGGACAGGGGTGGGCGCAAGAGGCAATCGTGAAAAACGCAAAACTTGCGGACAGGTGGGGAGTCAACTGGACATTTGCCAACTGGGGATAACTTTAACAATTTTTCTAAAAATAATATATTAAAATTCCTTAATTTTCAGAAAAGACGAACTTTTTGATCTTTACTCAGATTGTAAAGAAATAAATTTAGTAGAGCAAAACTTTTTTATTCTTTGGCATTTGTTTGGATTTGCTCGAAAACTTCTACGTTCTTTTATTTCCTCTCACGACCACATCAATTTTTATGATAATTTGTTGTCAAAAAAAGGGTGACAAATTTATATATTAAAATAAAACCGAAAAATTTTAAACAAATTTTTAGTTCAAGGAAAATTACTTAAAAATTTAAACGTTAAAAGGGGAGAATAATGTAGTTTTTACCTTATTTTTTCCTGTACAAATTTTGACAAAAGTTTCCAAACTTTTGTAGTAAATTTTGAATTTAATGTCTAATAAACACAACAGAAATTTTCTGAAAAAGTTATTGGGAAACCGAATATAAATTCAAGTGTAAAAAGGTCCTTTACTTATTTTTAATAAATTTATGAGGACTGAGGATGTTTTTTTCTTTTTTTTAAAAATACTAACTATATTTCTTTTTTGAAATTATAAAAATTATTTTTAAATAGAAGTGAAAGAATTTCACTAATTGAGTATATGAGAGTTTATGATGATCTAGAATTAAAAGCAAATTACTTTATGAAAATGCTTAAGGAAATGAATGTTTATAATTTTGAAGATTGCATTGTTTTTTACAGCAATGGACATGAATTTTGTAAGAAAATTAGTAACATAAACAGACCGGGCTGATATCGAGTTTTTAGAAATACTGCGAAAAATTTCAATTTTATAAAAGAGTTGGGCCGATACATAACTTTTCATTGATATTCTGTTTTATTGATATTGACACTAATTTTTGAAATTCTGTTTTCCCTTTAATTACATATTTGAGCTAAATATGGTGTGTTACAAAATTATAAGGCACCTTAACATTTTCACTCATTATTAAGATTTTAGTCAAACCGAGACAAAATTTAGAACAAAAATCTCGGTTATCGAGATCAATATTTTTCGAAATAACAAAGTCGATCTCGAGCGATCATCTGGGCAGGGGTGAATACAATTGTGGATTGCGTGAAATTGCGTGCACCCCTGCCTCCGAGTCCAATCTCTAGTAGTTATAATCTCTAAAATTGAACAAAATAAAAGCTTTGAGGACATTTGGGCACAAAATATATAATTTACAAAAACATTTAAACTTTAAATAAAGCTCGTCAAAACCATCTTATATCTCTAAAGAACGCGGAATGTTTTGAAGACAATGACAATCCAATCTTTTATCCATCAATATTCTCTCCAAGCAAACCACTAGAGAGCAGGAATATTGAAAAATATAAAATTTTATATTATCGTTATAAAGGTATAATTAAACTACTAAAAAAATATTAATTTAAAAATAAATTATAGTTCCTCAAAAATTACTAACTACAAATGTTTGCATAAATTTAATTAATTTCATAAATGGAAATAAGAATCATTCAACTTTTGGCTTCTATACATTTGACAACTTCATCCCTAAAGAAATTAATGAAAATCTTCAACATTTATTTTTAAATAATTATTTAACTAATTTATTTAAAGAACAAAATGAAGGTTTAAAACAACGTGAATACCTCGATGAGAATACTTTTATGCCTTTAAAAATTGGAGATAAAAAATTTATTTTGCCACATCCACATCAAGAACTTTTAGAAATTGTATATAAATATAAATTTCATTTTTCAAAAATATTTTTAATTATTTTGAGGGTGAGGATAGTCCTAGGAATTACATCTAAATAAGATTTACATAAATATACCGTAGTTGCTCGATTAATTCCCCTGGGGAATTATTTTTTCAACCCTTCCTTGGAATGGGGAATTAATCGAGGGAGGGGAATTAATCGAGTTTTGGTATTTGAACGTGCAGTAGGGTATTTGGGGGAGGGGAATTATTGTTTCAACCCAACTCTAGCATGGGGAATTAATTAGAAGGAGGGGAATTAATCGAGAAAATACTGTAGTATATATATTTATTCAACACGAATCTTTTTCTTTATTTTAAAAACATTAGATAAGACTAGATAATTAATAATGAACTGAAAACCTAAAAAAATATTTTATTCAGATTACTCAATACTGCATTGGTTTTATTAATCAACAAAGTAGTGGACATCAAGGAGGAACCAGTGGCGGAAATTTTGGAGATACCAGCGGTTCAGAGCAATGATTAATGATAGAAAAAGAGAGAAACCTGGAGGATTTTTACAAACCTGGAGGATTTTTAGAATGAAAGGGATTTAAATTTAAAAATTTTGATTAGATTTTATAGCCTTTTTATTTACACGGAATGGTAATAGTTTGTTTCGTACCCCCCCCCCCCCCTCGTTGCCTTCCACCGTCGTTGGAACAAAATTCCCCGTAGCACGCTCAAATGTCCACATGCTCAACAGGCCCGTTCCGTGAAAAATAAGGGAGAAAAGGAAGGGAAAATGAAAAAATGGTCAGAAAAAGGGGGCAGGGGGTACGAAAAAACTACCGTAAATGCTCTATAGAAGCACAGTCTCTATTTGAAGCACATTCTCTGATAGAAGCATACCTTCGAGAGGATCGAAAAATAGAATTACATGTGCTTCAATTAGAGCATTTACGGTATTACCCTGGGAATGATAGTTTTTACTAGAGACCGCACCAATATGATTTTAAGACCATAAGTCTTGGATGGCTCTAACAGTCGGTGTTAGGGGGCCTAGAGGTGGTGCTGGGTAAGTGTAAATGCAGCATATAGAGAGACTGGCACTTTTATGTTATAACCCTCCCAGCATTTAGCTTTCTCCTTTCTTTTTTCTTTCTCGAATAAAGGAGCTCGGCGACCCATGGTCCAGTTCGAGGAGCTAGAAAATCAGTTACCGTATTTACTCGATTAATTCCCCCGAGGAATTATTTTTTCAACCCATCCGTGGCATGGGGAATTAATAGAGGGTGGGGAATTATTCGAGTTTTGAAATCTGAACGTGTAGTAGGGTATTTGGGGGAGGGGAATTATTTTTTCAACTCATCCCTGGCATGGGGAATTAATAGAGGGTGGGGAATTATTCGAGGGAGGGGAATTAATCGAGTAAATACGGTAACTATTTGTGCCTAATTTCCTCCCCCCCCCCCCTTCACTAACCTTCCATTGCTTATATTTTTGGGCCTTATTTAATTTATTTTCAGCCTCTTTCAAGCTTTACAATACCAATCGAAAGTTTTCTATTTTTTGTTAACGGCATTTTTTATATCGATACTGGATAGAATGTCAATGTACCAGAGGTGGGTCGGAATTCCGATTTCCGACTTCCGATTTCCGACGTTTTTTTCCTTCCGATTTCCGATTTCCGAAATTTTGGAAAAATTTCCGATTTCCGACAATTTTTAAGGAAATTTCTGACTAAAGATTCTTCCAATATTTTCAAAATTTTCGCCTGCGGCGCAGAAAAAGGAAAAAATCTGGCTTCTAGCCTTCTATAATCCTCAAAAATTTCGCCTGCGGCGCAAAAAATGGAGGATTTTTGGCTTAAGGATCTTCCAAAATTCTCAAAATTTTCGCCTGCGGCGCAAAAATAGAAGATTTTTGGCTTAAGGCTCTCAAAAATCCCAAAAAAATTTGTCTGCGGCGCTGTAAATGGAAGTTCAATGGTATATCGGAGGATTAGGATGGATCAAGGTGGACTTTGAGTTATATCGTGTGCTTTCAAGGGGTCATAGTTAATAACGAGGGATCTGTGTGTGATATCGAGGGATTGACCCACAATATCTCTTTTAATCCCTTCGAATTTGACTTTTGAGTTGCAAAAAGAAATTTACACCCTCAAATTACACTCAAAAAAGCCCATAATTTGTCACCTTACAATTTTAAATATTATTTCAGTTATGAAAATAAAAATTTTATTTCCGATTTCCGCCTTCCGATTTCCGATTTCCGGCGTTTTTTTCCTTCCGATTTCCGAAAAAAATTTTGATTTCCGATTTCCGAGTTCCGACTTTTGAGCCATTTCCGATTTCCGGCAGTTCCGATTTCCGACACCTCTGACTGTTCCGACCCACCTCTGCAATGTACCACTAGGCTGTAACTTTGTTTAAAATACCTAATTAGATCGTGGACTCCCTATTTAGTATGGTTCTGTTCAGTTCGTCGAACTGTATCAAACCAAACTTTTCGAAAATGATTCGAAAATATTGAACGAGCTATAGCTGGAGTGTACATCGATATTTCTATTATCAATTTACTATTCAAGTCAAGCCTCTAATTTTTGCATATTTTAAAATCTTTTTATTTTGAAAATTTTATTTTCTGGTAGATAAATCTTCGTAGTAAAAATTTTTAAAATATAGAAATTTAAATTTAACTAAAAATTAAAATTATTTGTTGCCGATAGGCTTGTATGTAACTCCAAACGATTAAAATTCCAGCCCCTGTCTTTTTTGTCCATTGTAGACAAAAAATCTTTTGTCCACTCTTTTGTTCATTGTGGAATTGTCCACTGTCCAATTGTCGTAGTAAAAATGGACACGCCCAAAATTAATCCAAATATGTATAAGTAAGATAAAGGTTTTGTGAAGATTAGGACAGATTTCTAGCAGGAGTGTGCCGAAACGGATTTTAAAATGCGAAAAGCGAAATTAAATTTAAAAAGCGACACGCAAAATGCGAAAGTCCAAAAAACGCGAAAAGCGAAACTGGCACACTCCTGATTTTTAGGTGTTAAGGTGGATATAGGTAGATGGGTTTGGTGGTTAACTTTCTTGTTTTCAACTCTCTTATCTATTTTTTTCTGGCGCGTTTTCTTCAAATATTTACATCCGCGTTATTTTTGTCTAAAATTTTAATTCAAAAATTAGAAATTAAAAAATGGCTCAACATAAAATGAAAAAGAAGACAATTCTTCCACCTGGTGCAAAAAATAAATCAATGAAAAAACAATCAAAAACAGCCAAAACGGCGCCCAAAAAAGTTTTTCTTTAAATTTTTATTCTTAAAAAATTAAAATTTCTTTGAGGGCGTTTCGTCTATTTTGCCTCCTAAAAAGCAAACTGCTGCGAATTCAATAAAAGTAACTTCAGAAGTTACTCGCGTAATTAATCGAAAGAATGAGGAAATGATTAGAATGGTGGCTGATAGACAACAAGGGAAGAAAACGAAAAAATAAAAAATTTTTTGCAAGATTTTTGTTGGCCTTTTAAATGATTTTTGATAAATTAATTTTTAAAATTTTTCTAAATTTATTTTTCTCCCAAAGGTTTGGAGCCCTTTTCTATTCAATTTTTCATTTGCAGAAACTGCTAATTTAACCAGAGCTTCGAAGCTCGTACCAGAATTCGTACTCATACCTCGTACTCGTACCTGGTACGAAGTACGAGCAAAATCGAAATTTCGAAGCACTGAACCTAACCAATGTAAAGCATATAGCTATTTAATTCCTAAGGCTGTGCAGTAGGCGGCGTGGTGTAATGTCTAATACATCAGTCCGGTCTACTGAAGATGCTGGTTCGCTCCCAGCCGCCGAATAACCTTTTGCACTAGCTAAAGGGGTTAAATAGCTATAACCCAGCTGCCTAACTTAACCAACAATTTCTTTTTTGAAAATGTCCGCAAATTGTTATTCTTTGTCCGCAATTTCTAACCCTTTTTCTTCTAATTTTTATTTAATTTTCGGCAATCCCGGAGAATAGGGGTTTCTTCGAAAAAAAAGTTTAAAAATAAGAGAAAGGATTTTTCTAGGGTAAAAAAATGTGCTGATTACGAATCTGAGCTCGGATTTTGAAAAAGTCGTACCCGGACCCGAATATAGGTCCTACAAAATCGAAAAACCATAGGGGGGACCAAGCTGATTCTGGGTGAAAAATTCGAATATGCAAATAATAGCTCATTCAAAAGAGCTCGACGAGCTGAGTCGAATGACACCAAAATCACCGTGATTGAAAAAGATCTGGCGAAGTTATGATACCAAAATCAAACAACGTAAACCTATGTTTTTTGTGTTGTAACTTTGTCTGTTCTTGTTCATTCACGGTAATTTTGGTGTCATTCGACTCAGCTCGTCGAGCTCTTTCGAATGAGCTATTATTTGACCAATTTGCGCTCTGAGAAAATTTTCCCAAAATGTCGAATGTTCGAATTCGGGTTCGGGATTCGACTTTTTCAAAATCCGAGTTCAGATTCGTAATCAGCATATTTTTTTACCCTAGAAAAACCCTTTTTCTTATTTTTAAACTTTTTTTTCGAAGAAACCCCTATTCTCCGGGATTGCCTAATTTTCCAGATGCCATTTTTTGTTTTTCGTTGTTTAATTCAAAATAACAGAACGTTTTCCTTTCTATCATCAAAATTATGTGCCAGACACGCAACAGCAAAAACGTCTTTAAAACAAAATAAAATCCAAGAAAGTTTGCCGTTAGAAACAAACGGAATTATTTTGGTTCCAAAAAAATTACACGAACATCTTTTTGGAGAAATAATTACTGATGATTGTGAAAAAATAGATCAAATGGCAAAGAGAAAATCTGAGGAAGAATTTTTGGTAGAAGAAAAATTGAATTTACCTAAACTTAAATCAAAAAATTTGATGGGGCATTTTAAAGTTTTGGCTGAAGAACAATTGATGGAGTAAGTTGGAAATTTATTTTAAATAATTTTATTTTAAGTTTAGGCTAACCAAAATTATTTGTGTTATTTTTCTTTTACTCCCTTAAAGGTGTAAATAGATATCCCAAATATTTTTTAAAAATCCATAAACGTTTTCTATTCCTTACAATTAAAAATTTTGGTACTACTACGTGATTTTGTGGACTTTTTTGAGAACATTTTTTTCTTTCATAAGTTCAACACTAATGAGAGAAAATTGAGGAAGTGGGAAAATTGAGAAAGGGACCATTACGGACAGTTTGGGAGAGGAAGAAATGTTCGCAAAAAAAAGTCCGCAAAATTACTTTGTTAGGGATAAATTGTACCAAAATTTTTAATAAATTTTTTAGAAATTTCCCTCTTAATCAAAATTTTTTAAGTTATCGAATTTTAATGGAACAAGCCATGCAAATTGGAAGTTTACCTCCAATGCCAAAAGAATGGTCATCTTCTCCTGGCTGGACAGTTTATGAAAAGAATATTAAAGGTCAACATATTCAAAGACAAGTTCCATTTCCAAAAGAAAATTTGTTGTTTTTTGACGTTGAAGTTTGTATGACAGATGGAAAATTACCAACTATGGCTGTTGCTCTTTCTCCAAATAAATGGTTTTTTAAATTAAATTAAGAAAAATTTTTTGGGTTTTTTATTTAATATAATTAAAAAAAATTTTTCGGGTTCTCGCCTAAATTCTTTCCCCAATTTGAATTAATTCACAAATGAATTGGAAATTTTTTTCTTTTTTTTTGGTTCAAGATGATCAATCTAACCAATAATAATATCATTCGACCCAGCTCGGAGAGCTCCTTCTAATAATATATAATAGACTATATATTAAGCAAAAAAGCTCATAATGGTCAGGGAAATGTGGAAAAAAGGGGGCGACTTTCGAAGTATTACCGAATCTTGGCCAGTAATCTCTTAAAATTTTTGTGAATTTAACAAATTAAAAGAATCGTTTTATTTTTTAAAGGTATTCTTGGTGTAGTAACAGATTATCTAATGATCAAGTAGATTTACCTGAATTTGTTACTTTAGATCATTTAATTCCCCTTGAAGATGAAAATAATTTGGGGAATTTTAAAAGTTTGGTTATTGGACACAATATGGCTTTTGATAGACAATTTATTAGAGAACAATATTTGGAGAAGGAATCAGCTATGAAATGTTTGTTTTTTTTATTTTGTGGAAAATTTTCGAATAGAATTTTTATTCAGTTTTATTTTCTTTTAACATGGATTTCTTCCTAAATTTTTTTCCTCACCCCTTTTTCCTTATTTTCCAACCTCACTTTTAGAGTTTCACCTGAAGTTTCGGGTTTGGAAAGTTCCGGTGTTTTTTTGGTTCCCGGATCCGGAACTCAAATTGGATCCGGTCAAAATTTCGGTTCCGGTGAAACACTACACCCTTTATTTTACTTTTTAATTTTATCCATCAAATATCTAATTTTAATTATTTTTTTAAATTGCAGTTTGGTGTACAATGTCAATGCATATTGCATGTTCCGGTATGGCTGACCACCAAAGGTTTGGATTTTTTGGAAATAAAATTTTTAAAAAATATTTTAGACGTCTTTACGAAAAATCAAAATTAAATTCCTACGATTATATGTCCAACTTTTATCTTGAAGATGAAGATGGAGTTCCTGTTTTTACAAAACAATTTCAGGTTAAATTCTTCTAAATTTTTTAGATGATTTTAAGCATTTTTCCTTTAATTTAGAAATTTATTTTAAAAAATTTTAAATTTATTTTTAAGGCAATTGTAGATGAATGGAAATCAAAAACTTGTAAAAATTCCCTAGAAGCAGTTTTTAATCATTATTGTTCTAGTCCAACACAAATTAAATTAGATAAGCAATGGCAAGGATTTTTCAGAAAAAATAGTATTGAGGATATTCGGGATAATATGCAGGTTTTTAAAATGTTTTTAAAAATTGATCAAATATTTTTTAGCAATTATTTCTTTATTGTGCTGAGGACGTTCGGGCTACTTTTGAAGTTTATCAAAAACTTTATCCAAAATTTTGTAAAAGGTTTTAATTTATTTTTTAATTTAAAATAATTTTTTGACTATCCTTTTTCTTTTAAATCAAGGGCGTAGCCATGGGGTCGATTTCGAGGAGGGGGGGGGGCTAAAATGGGTTGTGCACCAAAATTCTGGCGTCTACCATGGCGTTTCCGGACGCAAATTTTTTTGAACCATATTTTTATTTTTTAGCGCCACATGCGAAAATTTTTTTGAATTTGGGGGTTTTTTGACCATCCTTCTCCTAATTTTTTGTTGACTCAATTTCTTTTTATAATTATTAAAAAATCTTTTCGGTCTAATAAGTATCTGGCTTTAATTTTCATTAATTTTAAAGATTTCCCCACCCATTAACATTTTGTGGAATGATGGAAATGGCAAATGTTTATTTACCTATTAATTCGAATTGGCGTCATTTTTATGATAAATGTGAAAAACTTTCTTCTTCAAGTATGAATGAAATTACTAGAAAAGTTATTCAAATTGCTAGAGACGTCATTGAAGAAATGGATCAAACAATAGAAAATAAAGAAAGGGAGGAGAATCAAGTCAATGAAAGTGAAGAAATGCCTGAAATATTAAAAAAGTTTGTAAATTTTATAAAATATTTCATCTCCTTTTCCTTATTTTCAGATACCATTTAGACCCCTGGCTATTCGTCTCAAATTGGTCCCGTCCAAATAAACGCCCTCAATGGCCTGTCTGGTATTGGGGACTTTTTCAGAAATTATCACATGCAAATACCCCTCTAGAAGAATTGGAAGCAGATTCTGTTAAATTAATGTGTAGAGAATTACCTCGACTTTTTGGACTTTGTTATGGTCCATATCCTTTAATGTTTGTGACAGATTTGGGATGGGGATATATTGTCCCTAAAAGTTTGTTTTTTAATTTTATTTAGCAATTAAAAATTAAAAAAAAATTTTTTAGAAAATTTTGTTTCTTCTTCTCTACCAGAAACACAATTAATTAAAATAGCTGATGAATCTGTTCATATGCCAATTAGGTTTTTATTTTTTTATATTTAATTTAAATAAATTTTAGGTCAATTTATAAACAAATTATATCAAATAAAAAATCTCTCAATCAATTAATTTCGGAGCCTTTAAAATCTGCAGTTCTCCATTTTGGCGATTTTTTTAGTTTTTACAGGCTACCACATCCGGTATGTTTTAACTAAATTTAAAAAATTGGAATAATTTTTCATTTTCTTTTTATAAAATTGAATCCTTAAAATTTTGATTTTTGGAATTTTTCCGATCCCAATTGTCTAATTTTTTAATTTTTTGTTCATATTTGTTAATTAACTAAAAATTACCCATAAATTAATTATTTATTTTTTTAAAAAAAGTCTGGTCAACCTCATCTTAATGTTGGCACTCCATTTTCAAAGAAGATGAAAATTAATTTTGAAAATTTTGAAGAAGACGCCATTCACCCAACAAGATTTGTCGACATTTTAAAATGTTTTTTGGATTCGAGAAGTGTGACTAGATTTTGGGGAAATTATAGGTTTCTGATATTTTTTTAATTATTAAATTTCTTTTAGGGCTCGTTATAAAGAACAATTACCAGTTTGGTTTGATAAAAATTCTGAAAATGGGGCAATTGTTCCTTCTGTTATCCCTGCTGGTACAGTTACAAGACGTGCTGTTCATAAATTGTGGCTAACCTCTGCAAATGCAAAAGTTAGTTTTCGAAATTTTTTTATTAATTTTTTATTTTTAATTTCAGGAGGGAATTATTGGCTCTGATCTTGTAAAGATTTTTTAAATTTTTAATAAAAATTTATTTTTTCTAGAAATCAATGATTCAATGTTCAAACGGTTATTCTCTAGTCGGGGCGGATGTTGATTCTCAAGAACAATGGATAGCAGCCCTTTTTGGTGATTCTTTACATCCTTCAAAACGTGCTGGTTCTACAGCATTTAGTGCTATGCTTTTGGCTGGAAATAAAGCAGAAAAGACTGATTTACATTCGGTTGTAGCAAAAACTGTTGGAATTAGTAGAGATCATGCTAAAGTAAGGAAAAAAGGGGGGGGGGAATAGTTTTTGAGTAATAATTTGACTCGGAACCAGTGCTGGGTATGGCTCCAGTTCTAGCTCCGCGGAGCCGGGGCTAAGATTATAAAAGCCCGGAGCCGCAGCCAACAAATGGCAAATACCCAGCACTCCTCTGAGTCTTTAAAAATAGATTAAAAATTCTAATATTTCTTTCAATCAAGTTTATTTTAATTTTTTTATTTACCTAAAAAAGGTTTTAAACTATGCTCGTTTATATGGTGCTGGTAGTAAACATGCAGAACAATTCTTAAAAACACAAGGAATATCAGATATTACTTCTAAAAAGTTGACTAAAAAATTATTTGAAACGACTAAAGGAAAGGCTTCAAAGTAGTGGATTTTATTTTTAAAAATAATTCTTTCAATTCAAAGTTATCATCGTCTATCAGAATCTGGAGGGAAATATTTTGAAGAATATTTAGCTTATCTTCACAATCAAAATATAATTACTGAAAATACCTCAAAAAATAATTCTTCTTATTTATTTGTTGATGGCTGTTATTTCCTTTCAAATGTTACTTTTAGTAGTTTTACTTTAAATTTTGCTGAATGGCTATTTAATTATAAGAAAACAAATTTAAATGATAAATTTGCTTCGAGATATCCAATAAAGCTTTATAATGGAGGATAGTGAGTTTAAAAAATAATTTTTCTAAAATTTTTTTTTAATTTTTAGTGAATCCAATACATTTAATTATCTTTCACTTAAATCACATCAACTTTACCCTGAAACTCCTGTCCTCAAATGCCGATTAAGTGAAGCACTTGAACCCTTCCCCGTTACTATAAAAAATGGGCCAGAAGCATATGCATTCAATACATTATATAAAAGGACAATAATTAATTGGGTAAAAAATAATTTTTGGAAAATAAAAATAAAATTTTTAATTTTAAAGTTTGTCCAGTCAAGTGCAGTCGATTTCCTTCATATGTTGTTGGTCTGTATGAGGTGGTTATGTACTACTTATGGAATTAGAGCTCGTTTTATGATTTCTATACACGATGAAGTGTGTTTTAATTTGTTTAAGAAATTTTTAAAAATTAAAGGTTCGTTATATGGTTGTCGATGAAGATAAATATAGATGTGCATTGGCATTAACATTAAGTAATATGTATGTTAGGTAATTTAAAAATATATTTAAATATAAAAATTATTTTATTTGAGAGCAGCAATATCTGAATCGCTTGGCATACGAGAACTTCCAAGGGTGGGGAAATGGAATTTAAGTTAATTTAAAATTGTCTTTTTAGTCTGTCGCCTTCTTCAGTCAAGTTGATATTGACAAAGTTTTACGAAAAGAGGTGACTTTAGATTGTGAAACTCCAGCCGGAGAGAAGATGGAAAATGGTAAAAAATTTGTTAAAAATCCTTTTTTTGTTGAAAATATTTTTCGAAAAGAATTTTAATAGAAATTGTATTCAAGGAAATGTCCTTTTTCTTTTAGATTATACAGAAAAAAATTAAAAAATATCTCTTTTTTAGGAGAGGCACTAACAATAGAACAAATTATCGATAAAACCGGTGGTTCACTTGAAGATCTCAAAATCATCAAAAATTAACAAAATCAGAGCTACATATATTTTTTACAAAAAAATTCTCACGGGCCATAATTTTTTATTGTGCACTTTATTTTTGATCACTTTTACATTTTTTCAAATTTTCTATAATTTATTTTTGATTCGTTCGTGAAAATTGTTCCTCACTTAATTTTTGATTGGACAAAGCCAGTAAACGAAAATTTTGCTGAATTTTTAAAACTTGACAAATTCGGAAAATGAGCAATTTATTATTCGATCACTTTTCCCTAAGAAAATAAACACCAAAAATTTGGTGTTATCGGTCACTGACTTTGTCCAATTTGAATATAATTTAATTAAAGAATTTTTTATATAACAATAAACTTTTTAGAGTTCCTAGACAATTTCTAATATTTATAAAATAATTAAATAAAACAAACTTATTTAGACATTTCATTAATAATATTTTCCCTAGTAATAACTTGTTCTTCAAATTCAATCATATAAGCTGTTCCCATATGCCAATGTGCTGTTACTCGACAAGGGAAATTACTTTCAGCTAAAAATGCTTCTATTATACCGGCAATGAAAGATGCACAATTTAGAGATCCTTTGTCTTTTGGAAGCGAAATAAATGTATTGACCATTGGCTCTTTTTCGATGAGAAAATCTTTAAAAATTAGAAAATGTTTTTAACTTTTTTAGGGGTTTTTATTTTTAAAATTAATTCCTTTCAATTTTTTTTAAATTTAAAATTCTTTAGAAAATTTGAAACATTAATAAAAATCGAAAAATTAGCAGACGTCCAAGAAACCGTTCTTATAAGGAATTTAACGGATTTTCTCTAATATTTAAAAATCAAAGGTCCCTCCATTAAATTAAAATTGTAAACTAACATTTACAAGGGTCTTCATTACTCCTTTCAAGTTTATCAGCTTCCAAACCAAATAAATTTTTCCAAACAGGCCCTTTCAAAAACATTAACATATGCAATAATTTAACATCTTTCTTGTATCCTTTCTAAAAATTTTTTTAATTTTAAAATAAACTAATTTTAAAAAACCTCTCTTAAAGTAATTAGATCTAAAAGACGAGATCCTACAAATTTTCCATAATCTGTTAATCTAAAAATAAATTTTAATTTTTAACATTTAAACAAATTAAAAACCTTTCTTGTAATTCCTGTACTGTATTAACTTTATTTTGAGAATATTTAATCATTTCAGCAAATAAAAGTGCAAAAGTGGAAATGTTTATCTACAAAAATTGAGGTGATTTAAAATTAAATGAGTTGGTAATTTAAAAAATCTACAGGGACTAAAAATATATTTCGGACTTGAAATAACCCAAAAAATATTAAAGAAACCTCATGCCTTCCTTTGCTCAGAGATTTGTCTAATATACTGACAGGATTGCTACGAGTATTTCTGCCAATCATTTCTACTAAATAATTTATTAAAATATTAACTTAAAAGACATTTAAGTAGTTTAAAATATTTTTATTATTTGATTGAATGAAAAGAATTGAATTTATAAAAAAATTTATTTTAAAACTGACAGAAATATTAACAAAAAATTAATGCTATAATGGCAAGAAATACATAAATATACCCGTCGATTAAAAACTTTTGGAAAGTATTTTATTATGAAAATTATTTTTAAATAATTTAGAGCCTTCCTCTAATTTTAAATTCCTCAATTCTTTTATTAAATAATTTATTAGCAAACGAGTATAGTTCCAAATCCAACTGATTTTTTTGCTTAATTTGGGCAAGTTGATCAGCACTGACAAATATATCAGAGGATTTACTTAAATTCCAATTTGAAAGTGAGTCGGAAAATCTGACAAAATGAAAAAATATTTTTTAAAATAAAATTGAAGAAAAAAAACAAACTTGACATTAAAAATATTCTCAAAAAGTATTTGGCTTTCATTCATTCGTTCCTTTATTCCAAAAAATGCAAAATTATTTTGAAGATTTTTCTTAGCACTTTCTAACATTAATCGACCAAAATGTGATGTAGGGGTATCAGAAAATATTAAATTATCACAACCAATTAAAGTTAAATCTGCGAGCATTCGAGTTTGTCTGAAAAATGGAAAAATTTTTTGAATTGTTTAAAAAAATTAAAACAAAATAAAAATTAAATTAAAAATTGATAAACATAGCCAGAAGGTATTGCAATACTCATCCGAAAAAATTTATTTTTTTATGGTACAGCCCAAGCAGGCGCGCGATCATAATGGCGCAAAGCCACAACTTGCTTCAAAATTTCCTAGTTTTAACAAATTTAGTATTAAACGATTCCTCTTATCGAGCTAAAGAGATGGGTACCAAAATTGATAAGGGCCGGAAATTTTACAGCAAGTTATGGCTTTGCGCCGTTATAGCCGCGCGCCTAATCGGGCGTGTCCCTATTTTTAAGTAACAAAATCAAAAAAAAAATTCTTTAAAATTAAAAAAATGATAGAGAAATCCCCTTAAATTATTTAAAGAAAACCAAACCTATTAAACGCCAAATTATGTGGGCAATTCAAAAATTCATCCAATTCAACTTCTTTTACCAAATCAAATTGTAAACATTCTGACATATTATTACAAAAATGTTGAACTCTTTTCCATCTTGCCCCGCGTTTTACATGACTAAATTCTGAGATGAAACGATCTACCGGTTCTCTAATAAATGTTGTCAAATAGAAACGATTTTTTGATTGGCCTTAAAAAAAGTTTAAAAAAATAATAAAAATTAAAGCAAAACCTTCTTTAATTTTAAAATAATAATCAACACAATTAGCAACAACCAATTTTGTAAAATCTGCATGTAATCCACAAGCCCAATCCACCCAACCAGTAGAATAACGAGAAAATAGCCAAATTCTCTCCTTTCCAAACTTGTCAATAATTTCACAATCACAACGTTTCTGCCCTTCTTCACAAATACAAGGGTTGCTAATATTTAATTTACGAACAAGAAAACGTTCAAAAGAGGTGCCAGCAGTTTTTTGAATGTGTAGAAAGATGAGAGCATCTTTTCCAGAAAATTTAAAACTGAAAAATTTGGAAAAAGATTAATTAAAATAGGCAAGAATTCGGAGATGGAATTAATTTTGAAAAAAACATATTTGGTAATACTTCGGTTGACGTCACCCTTTTCTGACTACAAGGTGTTAACACAAACGGTCATAACTATGTTGATTCAAGCCAAATTTCGATGATTTTAGTGCCAATCGACTCATGTCAGGTCAAAGAGCTGACATGAGTCGATTGATATATATTTTCCAAAAGATAGAACAGAAAAATGGGGAGGGGGCCAGATATTTAATTTAAAAATTTAAAAAAAAACTTCAAAAACCTAAATTTGGCAAAACCCCGATTAATTTGATCAAATGAAACAATCAAAGAATTTTTTTGTAAATTATTTTCATTCACTTTATTTACTAAAGGTTGACTTTGAGCATAAGAAAAACGCAAAGAAGGAGTTTGATTAAAAACAAAATTTAATTTTGTCGTTGTCCATGCAGCATAAATTAAATAAATTATAAAAGATATTAAAATTATTATTGAAATTAGGCAAGAAAGTGTGCGGTTTAAATGCCGCATTTTTTGAATTTTTACATTTTGTTTTATAAACCTGAAAAAAAGATAAAAATTAATTGAAACAGAAATCAAAAAAAAAAAAATAAAAAAATTAAGCCTAAAATTAATTTATTAATTCGGGTACAGCCCATTACGGCGCGGGCCAAAACGGCGCGACCGAAACGGCGCGACCGAAACGACGCAGGCCAAAACGGCGCACGGCCCAAAACGGCGCAAACCCAAAACTCACAGTAATAGTGATTAATCGTGTTATCATCATGTGATCAACTGTGAGAGTGATCAATTGATCTCTATGATCAACCTATTTGTGATGATCGATCTGACCTTATTGATCGATCAATAGCCACCATTGCGTAAACTGATCCTTCGAATTATTTAAAATCTACAATAAGGTTTTGCGCATTACGGGAAAATTGTTCCAACAATGTGGAAGATCGTTCCATCATTGAGAAAAGTTGTTCCAGAAGCGGTGAAATGTTCCGACATCAACGACCAGAATAAAAATAACCAAGTCTAGATGGTTACAGTAATAATAAGGGGATAACTATATAGTAGTTATAGGGGGAACTAGTAATAGTATATGTAGTTATAGGGGGAACTAACTAGTAATATAGTTATATTGGAACTATCTGAATCTCGCAGTTATTTCTCGTAGTTATACTTACTAGTAAGTATACGATCTAAATAGTTTTGTTATCACTCTTAATTTTTATCACTCTGTTATCACAAGATGTTGTCCACCTTTACATCTGCTATTTTTTGTTCACATCACCAAAAGATACGATCACCATTTGGGCTAAACCTCACGTAACAATATGTAGCTTATGGGAAATTTTTGCGCCGTTTTGGGCCGTGCGCCGTTTTGGCCTTGCGCCGTTTCGGCCTGCGTCGTTTCGGTCGCGCCGTTTCGGTCGCGCCGTTTTGGCCCGCGCCGTTTCGGGCGTGTCCCATTAATTCATATTTTTGTTTTTTTCTCTAATACTCTCATAATTTTCCATACTATTTTCTTTTTTATAAAATAAAATGACATTTTATCCCTTTATTTCAAAATGTAAAAAAAGTCAAAGATTACGTAATCTAAACGTGTAATAAAGATTTTATTGTCATGTTAATTCTTGTTTTAGAATTTTGTGTTCAATTTTATTAATTTTTTCTTCAATTATGGATTTTAACTTTAAAATATTTTTAAAATTTATTTTTGTTTTTATTGTTGTTTTTGGCTTTGGAGAAGGTAAAAAAATCTGATTAATTTAATTTTTATTTCATTAATTATTTTTAGCACGTCAAAAAATTTTGTTAACAAGTCTTCCTGTTTTAACATTATACAGAGGTGGTTATACTGAAGGTTATAAGCCTATTAAACAATTGGAATGTATTGGTGGGACTGCCTCTGGAATGTGAGGGTTTTTTTAAATTTTTTAAAAATAATTTCTTTCGTTAATT